CCAGGTCTAAACCAGCTCTAAAACAGGTCTAAAACCAGGACTAAAACCAGGTCTAAAACCAGGATTAAAACCAGGTCTAAACCAGCTCTAAACCAGGACTAAAACCAGGTCTAAACTAGATCTAAACTAGATCTAAACTAGATCTAAAACAGGTCTAAAACCAGGACTAAAACCAGGTCTAAAACCAGGATTAAAACCTGGTCTAAACCAGCTCTAAACCAGGACTAAAACCAGGTCTAAACTAGATCTAAACTAGGTCTAAAACAGGTCTAAAACCAGGTCTAAAACCAGGTCTAAAACAGGTCTAAAACAGGTCTAAAACCAGGTCTAAACCAGCTCTAAAACAGGTCTAAAACAGGTCTAAAACCAGCTCTAAAACCAGCTCTAAAACAGGTCTAAAACAGGTCTAAAACCAGGTCTAAAACCAGCTCTAAAACAGGTCTAAAACAGGTCTAAAACCAGGTCTAAAACCAGCTCTAAAACAGGTCTAAAACAGGTCTAAAACCAGGTCTAAAACCAGGTCTAAAACCAGGTCTAAACTAGATCTAAACTAGGTCTAAAACAGGTCTAAAAACAGGTCTAAAAACAGGACTAAAACAGGATTTAACAGGACTAAATCATGCTGCGTGGACGTGTCTCCTCGTCTTCTATCAATAATATTTTTAATACGGTTCAGTAAAGTCTGGGCTTTTCATTTTCTTTTAGCAGATAAAACATCTTATGTTACGATATCCTCGTCCAGTAATCCAAAGTATTCAGATTACGTTACTCACCATAAGTAACTTAATGGATTCCGTTACAAACTCCATTTTGGGGTATGTAATCTGTAATCTGTATGGGAATACATTTTAAAAGTCACCTTCCCAACACTGGGCGGGGGGCATTTGGAGATTTGGCGTGGAATGATCCATTGGCTGTTGACCTTTTGTTTTGACTGACCTAAAAAATACACATAAAGCTTTATTTGAACACTTTAGTCTGAAAAAAGTGGCACCAAACACGACTACACTGCTCCATTATAGGTTTATGGTAAAGAACATTTGAAGAAAATAATCAAAATTGGTTGCTCTGAGTTCTAAACAATCGCCATTGGCCGTGAAAACAGAAACATATTGGTCAGTCTCTAGTGCCTGTAATATTCTACTGAAAAATGACGCACGAGGAAACTGAAATAATCTTATCTGACATACGTAAAACAGAAGGTACAGGCATCATAACACTGAGCCAGGCTTCGCTTGCGTAACTGTTCTGTTTTTAGACTGGAGATCGGAGCTTTCACTTTCAGGACCAAGGAGAGTGTGCCGCAACAAAAACAACAATAACAAACCCAAAAGGAGCTTCCTGTAGCTTATTATATTTTCGTCCCGGTACAGATGTCAGCGTATTGTCGACAACGTTCGCCAAACTCTGCTCCCTCATTTCTGCGTTTTGTCATTCTGTCCGTTTTTTTTCACCGAAACCCTTTCCCCACCCACTTCTCTCACTTGCTTTCGTTAAAAATCAAAACTTTCACTCAAAATCAAACACTTAAAGGCTTCAACAATTTTGTGTACTAATGACATTACTTCTCATTTATACTTTTCTAACAGCATCCATATTACATTCTTTTCTGTTCTATGTTATAATGTTTGTTTCCTCATCAAAAATCTGAGGTTGTATTTTGTTTCATTCACAAATTCATTAGCGCTCAAATCTTGCATATTTTGGTTCTCACACAAAACACTCACGACAAGAAGTGCTCCACTCGATACACTAGAATTCATTTTTCTTTCTTTCTTTCTTCCTTTATTTGTGTATTTATTCATTTAAAACAAGCACAATGCACAGAAAACATTCATCTCAGAAAGAAAAGATGCTCTGTGCCAGATTTAGGTACAAGCTCCTTTCCATCTGCAGTCCTTGCGCAGGTACAAAATGTATTAAAGAAACTATTAAACCAACTCTAACAACATTTCATTAGTAACAGTGTCTCCTTAGAATAACCACAATCCAATTCATCATTAAAACCCTCTCAGACTCAAATAATTTTTTGTAACAGGAAAAATCTGATATTTGGGGAAAATTATCATATGGGGTAGTAATATACAATCCTGACTTTTTTTTTTTTGAGACAGACCTTCACATCCAGTGCGTTCTGGGATGTTGCAGATTTGCAGCATTGGCCCGATGTGGTAAATTAACACTGGAGACTTTATGTTTATACCACTTTTCATAACAATGAAAACAAAAAGCACAGTGTAACAGCTTTACAGTGGCAGAACAACAATCAAAACAACTTGGTATAGATCACTTTTTCGTGTGGTGCTCCAAGAAACTATTTTAATCCTTTGTAAAGCTCAAAAGTATTTTGCACTTCTGGCAGATCTTTTGCGTGTAGCCGTTCTTGCACAGTCTGCATCGTCCACGTTTATCAGCGTGGATGGGAGAAAAGGCTCCTGAGTAAAAAAAGCTCAAAATATGGATGTGGAGTAAGTAGGTAATTGGAATATAGCTGTTGCAAATCTGCAACGTCTGCCTGGAGAGGGTTAAAAACTTATAACAATCAACATGATTTCATTTTAATTTCCATAAATACAAGACTTTAAATTCAGCTTCAAAAAATACTCAAATTCATTGTCATCAATATCGTCTAAAATGTACTTTTACCAAATTCATCAGTATTATTCTCCTTTAAAACACAATTCATCAACAACATGATCATCAAGACAAATGTCATGAATCAAACACAACACATTTACATCTACACAATACATCTACAGTACACTCAGTCAGAAAGTTTAAATGTTCAAATGTTAAATGATTAATTATCAATCATTGCATTTATATAGAGCCTTTCAAGACACCCAGAGCACTTTGCCACAGCAGCCCTGGGGCAGACTGACGGAAGCGAGGCTGCCAATCTGCGGCCATCAACCCCTCCGACCACCACCAACACTCGCTCATGCACACCCCACTTTTATACTAGGCAATGTGGGTGAAGTGTCTTGCCTAAGGACTAAGGGTGTAACGATACCCAAGTCTCACGGTACGATATTGTCACGATATGAACCTTACGGAACGATATTTATTGCGATATCGTGGGAAAGCTCACGATTAGGGATGTAACAATATCGAAATCTCTCAGTACGATATTTTCACAATATAAATCTCACGGTACGATATTTATTGCGATATTCTGTGGAGGCTGAACAAAACTGTTAATATGACACTGTTTCCCTTGACAAGACTTAACCCAAAGACCTAAAACTTACAACAGCACTTTTAAGTTTTACGTATTTCTTCTTGTAGTCTACACTGAAATGGAACAAAGGATCATGGTCTATGTAGTTCCCTCTGTTTTGTTTTGTTTTTTTAGCTATTGCTGCACCATAACTCTTAATTTAAGCAAACAAACTTGTAATTCAACATATTGCGATGGTCCACGATATTATTTTGAGAACTTTGACCGTACGATTTTGGTTATTGTTACATTCCTACTAAAGACACAAAGACAGTTTTTGCTGCTGGTGCCCCCCTGTGGCTCCTGGAATTCCCAGAGGTCTCCTTTCCAAGTACTAACCAGGTCCAGCCTCTGAGCGTCTGAGATCTGACGAAGCTGGAATGGCCACGTTTGAAGAAGCCTAATCATGTGGACAATTTGAGCCCTGTAATTACCAGTGTCTATTGAACTAAAAGTAAAGGGCAGCTGCTCACTTGAAAACTACGTCTTCCTCTTCCTGACATCACAATGTGGATCAGAGCGTTTGGAGCTACGAAGAAACATGTGTGAATGAAACAAAACACAACTCCGGGACATAACAACATCCTAACATGACTTAATGCTCAGTTTTCTTCATTATTTGTCTCCAAAACCAAAATGAAAACACGGATAATGATTTGTTTTTTCAGTTTTTGATTTTGTGTTTAAATGAAAAATGGTAAATGGTTTCCCGTTTACGTGACTTTCGTGACCGCGATGTCGGACTGAACCAGGACTGAACTAGGACTGATCCAGGTCCGGGACTAGACCGGGACTGAGACCGAGACCAGACCAGGGCCAGACCGAGACTGACATGAGGACTGGGACCGGGACCAGACTGAGACTGAGACCGAGACCAGACCAGGACCAGACCGGGACTGAGATCAGGACTGAGACCGGGACCAGACTGAGATTGACACCGAGACCAGACCAGAACCAGACCGAGACCAGACTGAGACTGAGACCAGACCAGGACCAGAGTGAGACTGAGACCGAGACCAGACCAGGACCAGGCCGGGACCAGACCGGGACTGAGACTGAGACCAGACCAGGACCAGGCCGGGACCAGACCGGGACCAGGTTGGGACCAGACCGGGACCAGACCGGGACTGAGACCGAGACCAGGCCAGGACCAGACCGGGACCAGACTGGGACCAGACCGGAGGCTCAGAGCCCACAGCAGGGCCAGAGCTTGAAGCTGAGGCTTGGACCCCACAGAGGCTCGGAGTCAAAGCTCGGGGTCCGCTCTGGTCCCGCTCTGGTCCTGCTCTGGTCCCGCTCTGGTCCCGCTCTGTTTCGGGACCTGGATCAGTCCTGGTTCAGTCCGTATGCAGCGCAAAAGTCCAGCATTGCAGTCACGGAAGTCACATAAACTGGAAACGGCTGTTATCCGTTTTTTTTCCATTCTTCATTTAAACACAAAATCTAAAACTGGAAAAAACAAATCGTTTTCTGTTTTTTCATTTTGGTTTTGGAGACAAATAATGAAGAAAAGAGTTGTTTTTTCATTTCCTTACTTTTGGTTTTATACTGAAAAACGAATGAACGAATGACACACGGATTGTAAAACAGCACCTTTAAATGAACAGACACTGCACATTAGACAAAAAAAATAAACACAACACAACATACTGTAAGTGGGCCTGCTTCTCTTTTGTCACGCCGCGCTGTGATTGGCTCCCTTTCGCCGACAAAACGCGGCTCCCGATTGGCCGTCCTCACCGGCTCTAACCAATCGGCGCGCACCTGCCACGGAGGAAGGAATAAATGCAAGATGGCTCCTCGTATAAAAACAGTCTTCTGGCTTCCTCCTGGCGCGCATCAAAATAACTCTTTACACCTTATTCGACTCAAATATCTGTCCGCAGAGCCTTCCGAGGGGTGAGCCGGGCTGCGCGTCGGTATGCTCGGATAACCCGTCGGGATCAGCGGGCATCAGAAAATAAAAAAAAACAAAACTTTGACTAATCATGTGCCGGAGCTGATCTCCCAACTCCTGGCGCAGCGGCGGCCTCGGCTAGTTAGCATTTAGCTGCTAACTAGCTCATGAATTCAGTCTATTATCACTCTTCAAACTTAACAAAAACAGCAAATAAGGGACAGTTTTGCGGCTCGTCTGGTTAACGCTGGACGTGAATGGCCATTAAAGACTAAACGATGGCTGTAACGAGGTAAGATCGCTTTTATGTTGAAGCTTTTTGCGCTAATGTGGCTAAGAATGGCATGGCCCCTTTGCACGCCCGTGGTTTTAGTTTCATCTAAGCACCGAGTTTAAATGGTTGTAAATTGCTTTCATGCCCGACTATGATCGCTTTTTCTCTTATTTTTAGCCGGGAATGCTCCACACTTTAACTTTAAACTGTAATTATCACGTCAAAGTAAACACTGTTCCGCAATTAAAGCTATTAAATGCTTATTACGCCTGACTATTCGCATCATGACGTGCGTTTGCTTCACATTTATCATCTTTTGGTTACACTTCCTTTCATTTTAAATAGCCTCCTACTCCTATGGCATTATGTGGCCGGATGCACACACATACACACACACACTTAAACACACTTAAACACACTTAAACACACTAAATATAGGCTGCAAACTTGAATGAAATGTCTAAAATTCTCTATTCTTACTTATTAATAATGGTATAAGTCACCAATAATACAGCTTTTTCTCATAGATCTTTATTTAGGCTTTGGTAGCAGAGGCAGAACTTCTTTTATACACATTTAGGAGTAATTTAATATTTATTGGACACTTGTTGTGTGCAAAAATATTGAAATATTGATATAGTTTATCATTTAATGTGATGAAACAGTATCGATATCGTGGGTTGCTGTATCATTAAATCACCAAGAGTATTTTTTGGTGGATTTTACTTAATTATTTTGTTACAGAGCTCAAGTTTTGCTGCTTGTTTAATGGAAGGAGACTTGTTTATGCAACACATATGACATATTATTCAATGTTTTGGTAGTTAAAATGGGTGTGTTTCAAATTAACTTTGCGCAAGAAGTGGTTTAAGAAAGACTTGAGTACCACAGCCATGATTTAGCATTTATTTGTTATTGAACCGGATCAAATCGATTTAGAAATATATCGTATTGAATCGAAAATGTGCTGTATCGTGTCTGTATCGTATCGGCAACTTTTTAATGACCCCCAGCACAATTTAACACAATTCATACACAAAAAAAGGAGCTAAAAGTGAAATTTGTAATGCCAGGTTATTTTTTTAGACCTTCACATCTCATTTTTGGTTCCTAAGTTACCGTGTTTATCGTATCCTTTACCGTTTTATAAAGCCAGTATCATTTAATAATTCTATACTGTTATTCTTGGTTTTGGGCTGAGCAACTTTGACCTGCTCGAGTATCAAGTTCACAAACTGTACAAAAGAAAGAACAGTATTTGTATCAAGTGTCTTCATCATAACCCGGCAGCTTTTGTATCCCTTTTTTTGATGCGTGAGCAGATGTAAACTTTATTAAAAACGGCAGGTGTCCTTGATTCCGAAGTCGTGACTCTAATTCGAAATGAGCTGCTTCTTTGCCATTGATTCTTTACAAACCTTATCCAGAGTCTGGCATTGTTATCTTTAATTGCTGTAATTACGCGCAGGTCTGTGGTTGCGGCTGTAATATTGTCTGCAGAAGCGATAGAAAAGTAAACGGCGAGTGCTTTAAGCCTCGGGTCACAGTGGCTGGGGTTAATCCACTGTACGTTATTATTAGACCGCTAATGACTTCAGGACAGTGGACGTTGGCCCGCTGCAAAATCACTATTGTTTGATTTCATTGTTCAATACGGAAAACTTGGAACAGGATGCGAAGGCTTAATATCACTGCAGTCTGAATGTCACAAATTTCAAGTCAAGTTTCCACATTGGAAATTCTTATCTGCGTTATGATTATTTTAGTAGTCAATTAGCCAAGAGTATTTTTTTTGTCTTCAATTAGACGGTGAGTAAAATTATTATTTCTTCATTGAATTTTTCTGAAGAATAAAGCTTGAGAAATGATGACTTCTAAGTGGATAACAACTCGAATTTTGATTGAGATTTAGATTTTGTGTGTCAAACAAGCTCCAAACTTATATAATTGAGTTGAAACAAGTTTATTTTTAAGATATTTTTTAATATAAATAAGTATTTATTTTGTGTTTTTAAATATAGAACAGCTGGATATATAGTTTATTTTGGATACATTTATGTTTTTCTATGCCTTATTTCATGTTCAAAGTGTATTTTATTCATTGCAAAACTGCTCATATTTGTCGCCTGTATTTATTTTCAATTGGAAAGTTTTGCGTAAATTATCAGTAATAATAATAAATGCATTACAATGATTGTACTAGTCAATTAGTCAGAGTATTCTTTTGTCTTCAATTAGACTATCAGTAAAATAATTATTTCTACATTTAATTTTTCTGAAGAATAAAGCTTGAGAAATGATGACTGAAGACTTTAGATGGATAACAACTCGAATTTTTATTGAAATTTGTGTGTCAAACAATCTCCAAACTTGAAACGATAAATCTTAACAAAGTCTATTTTGAGATATTTTTTGTATAAAATTGTATAAATCAGTATATTTATTTAATTTTTTGTAGAACAGCTGGATATATAGTTTAGTTTGGATACATTTATGTTTTTCTATCCCTTATTTCATGTTCAAAGTTTATTTTACTGCTCATATTGTAGCCAGTATTTATTTTCAATTTGAAAGTTTTGCGTAAATTATCAATAATAAAGTGTTTTTATGTGAGAGAGAAATGCTGAGTAAAGGCATCGTGTAACTAAAAAATAATAGTTTGAATAATCGTGATTTCAGTATTGACCAAAATAATCGTGATAATGATTTTTTTTCCATAATCGAATAGCTCTATAACAACTTGTGTATCGTTGATTCAGGAATTGTTTTTTCTTTTGTTTTGTTGACTGTGACATGGGTTTTAAGGTGCATTCACAGTACACTTTTTAGTCCTGTTCTAGTCCTGTTCTAGTCCAAGATTAGCTTTGAAATGAGTCTTGGTTTAGTCCCTGTTTTTATGTGCGAGTGTGAAATTACCTTCTGTCTGTTGGTATAATTATTACGATGACCAAAATACCGTGCATTTCATCGCCCAAAAAAAGAAACCTCGGTCATGCCCTGCCAGTCAATTAGACAAATCATTATCTCTATGAACTGACTGTAACTGCACTCAAACTACAACTGCAAGTTAATGCAAAAATACAATTTATTAGGGACGTAACGATATCCAAATCTCACGATATTTTGAAGAGGCTGATATAATTGTAGATAGGACTCCTTTTTTTGCCTTTAAAATACCTTGACAAGATTTTGATGTGAATTATTTCCATCATAATCCCAACTAATCAAGTAAAAAACATATTTCTTCATGTTGTTTACGCTGAAATGAATCATGGGATATGTAGTTTTCAATGTTTATAATCTGTTGCTACTATAAAACCATGCATTTAAGCAAAGGAACTTTAATGATTCGATATATTGTGACACCTCACGATATTATTGTGAGACTTTTGACGATATTTCATTTAATTTATTTACCATTTATACATAAAAGTAGAACGAGGGGAAGGGTATTTGTATCTAAAAATGTAGATTGAACACAGGACTAATTTTCAGATCTTAATACCGTCTACTTTCTTATGTCGGGGAAATAATGTTTTATAATTTAAATACTACAAATTTTGGTTAACTAAGGCATTATGGACTGATTAATCGCCTAAATGACTGAACGACTAAACGACCACAGCCCTAATAACGATGACGACTCTGTTATTTACACAGTGTTTGTTTGTGTTTACCTTTCAGGCTTGACCGTTTGTTCATTTTGCTGGACACTGGGACGACGCCGGTGACCAGGAAAGCAGCAGCGCAGCAGCTCGGAGAAGTGGTCCGACTCCACCCGCACGAGCTCAACAACCTCCTATCTAAAGTACGGTTCTGTCGTTGATTAAAATAACTTTAAAGGTGCACTGCGTAACTTTTCTAGCGTCTAGCCTACTCGCACGGTGTTTTATGTTGTCATTTCGTCATCGCAAACAGACCTGGAGTTGTGTTCAGTTTCGTTCACACGTGTTTAACGCTTAAACCCTGCGTATTTAAGCTTTTCAGGTCTTCTCTCAAACAGAACACGCTCTGTTCCACCTTGTGATGTCATTTGTGAACGAAATAAAACACAACTCCAGGAATGTTTTTGAGGAAGTGACAACATTATAACACGACTTAAAGCTCACAAGAGTCAATTTTGAGTAATATATGACCTTTTAAATGGTTAGGTAAGCAATAACTGAACTCTACTTTGACATGTTGAACTGGTTTGCCTGGAATATTCCATGATTCGTCAATTTAAACATAACTATTTAGACTTAGACTTAGACTTAGATAGACTTTATTGATTCACAAGGGAAATTACTTGGACACAGCAGCTCACACATCACATTAAATTGCAACAGACATGTCAAAGTCAGGCCCAGGGTCCAAATTTGGCCCGCGATATAATTATAATTGGCCCACGAGATCATGTCAAACATGTACTGTATTTTCCGGACTATTAGGTGCTCTGGATTATAAGACGCACTGTCATTAAATGGTCTATTTTCAAACTTTTTTCCACAAATAACCCGCACTGGACTTTAAACGAAACCCAACAGTGTGATGGGTGAGTGGTTTTGTTTGTTTGTTCGTTCACGGTGACTCTGGGCTTTGTTCAGTTGTGGCGTGTAGGGAGGGTGCTGTCTGGGACCAACGGATTGTCGGCGTGTTCGCAGTGACTCAGTTGTTCAGTCGTGTCTAGAAGCGGCACATTGCACTCGCTTTTTCGGTTCGTTCCTCCGTTCCGTTCCTCGTCGGCGTGGAGTGATGAGTGTGTCTGTGGGTGTTTGTCGCTGTGCGGTCGCTGTCTGCTCCGTGTGTGTTTGTGTGTTCTGCGGGTGGTGCGGCTTTGTAGTTTACTGAAGTCATGCTGGGACACCTGAGTGGATTTGTGTATAGTAGGGATGGGCATGATTAGTCGATTAATCGATAATTGATCATTAAGAATTTCATCGATTAAAATTAAAATAATCGACAAACCGAATGTAGGTTGCTGTGCGTAGCGTGAGCAAACAGGGACAGTCGGTCAGTCTGCAACGTACCAAAGCACAAATGCGTATTTAACGATGATTTGTACAAGAAATTCCACGCTTTCCGTTGCGTTCGGGACAAGTGTGAGTCCATGTGCACAGTGAACAAAGCAGCACATATGTTTCGGTGTCCAGTGGGAAAAAGTTTTACCAGGTGAGAGTCGCTCAATGTCGATGACGAGTCCCCACCTCCCTCCCCCCGTACGGTGTCCTGGTTTTGACAAACGCAAATATGGTCACACTAACCTGTATTCACCTGAGTCATGTCTTTTAATCCGACAGAAATTGAACCGCATCAGCGACACAAGAGCTGTAGTTTTATCTTCGCTTAGTTTATGCAAATTAGTGATGTGGTTTTAAGTTTCGTTTCTGTGAGAGTTGCGCAGAACTGAATTAAACACAATATAATGTCAAACGGGCTGATGTGGCTCTAGAGTCGTTACAGTTTATATGTCGTAAAGTTGATTTTATTTATGCAGATTAGTAGTGCAGATAGTAATAATGATGATCATTTTAATATAAAAACGTTAATGATTAATCGATAATCGATCGTTAATTCTTCCGACGAGCGATTAAGAAAATTTCATCGAATGCCCATCCCTAGTGTATAGGGCGCTCTGGATTATGGCGCGCAGTCATTTTTGATGGGGTTGGAGGCTTAAGAGCGCGTCTAATAGCCCGGAAAATATGGCATTAGACCTGTCCGTGGCTACAAATAGGCTATAGATGTTGTTGAAATTTTTCAATAAATATTTAGTTTGGCCCACGACTTAGTCCCAGTTTTTAATTTTGTCCTCTGTGAATTTGAGTTTGACATCTCTGCATTACAATAACACAGAGAAAAAACATACAAAAATTTGTAATAAACTTCTAAATAATAAATTAAATAACAAGAGAATTTTATCAGTAAGACATAAATTATATAAATGTATGTACAGTAAGTAAAAAATGTCATTTAATTTGGTGTTTATTTCAGTGTGGGTGATTTAATTGCTTAAAAATATGTAGAAAAATGCAATTATTGTGAGTAGAGTCGCCTCTCCGTAGATCTAACCTGAGCTTGTTCTGTCTCCATTCTCCAAACTTTTTCTCCAGCTTTTTTTTTTAACTGCAAATGCAAATAGATAAATGGAGTAAAACAAGCCTGCTTCCAGCGTATTCTGAGTCGTATTATCAGATCTGTCATGCAAATGTGAGTTATGATTTGAATATTTTCCTCAGGTCTTGACGTACCTTCGGAGTCCAAACTGGGACACGCGGATCGCAGCGGGACAGGCCGTGGAAGCCATAGTGAAGAACGTACCGGAGTGGAAGCCGGCGCCCAGACCCAAAGACGGTGAGCGCCACTGATGAGAAGTTTTTAAACACTAGGACTGCAACGGTTAATCAAAAATAATCAGTTGTATTTTAATAATCGTAACTGCTATCTGAACTATGCAAACTCTAAAACCCAAAGAGCGTTTAAAACAGTGAGTCTTTTCTTCTATTAAAGCAAAACCTCCAAAAATAAAAACACCCTCAATAATACACTTGTAAATATTCACGATTTTGAAACCTCCAGTCACCATATTTCAACATTTTATCGAAATATGCATCCCAGGTGGTGTCCAAACTTTTTTCATCAAGGGCCACATGATGAAGCAGAAGGCTGATCGAATGAGCTATCAGACTTTATTCATGCCAAGATCCTTAAAACCACACACTAAATTAAATTAAATTATTTAAATATCAGCTTTATCAAGGTAGATTTTCAACAAACTTGCAGTAAAAATTTAATTTTTAATTGATGCAAGGTAATTTGGGCCAGTTCACCTGGAAGCCTGAGGGCCAAGAAAAATTTGTCTGAGGGCCGCATTTGGCCCACGGGCCGTAGTTTGGACATGCCTGATGCATCCAAATCTCACGGTACGATATTTATTGCGGACTATACAAACTCTAAAACCTAAAGAGCGTTTAAAACAGTGACTCTTTTCTTCTATTAAAGCAAAACTTCAAAAAAAGAATAAACAATTTCTGGTCTTCCTCGATGGTACACTTGTAAATATTTATGATTTTGAAACCTCCAGTCTCTATATTTCAACATTTTATTGAAATATGCATCCAAATAACGATATCCAAATCTCACGGTACGATATTTATTGCGATATTTTGAAGCGGCTAATAAAATTGTATATAAATGTGACACTTTTTTTGCTTTTAAAATACCTTGACAAGATTTTGCTGTGAATTATTTCCATCATAATCCCAAGAATTCAAGTAAAAAACATATTTCTTCATGTTGTCTGCGCTGAAATGAATCATGGGATATGTAGTTTACGATGTTTATAACCTGTTGCTACTATAAAACCATGAATTTAAGCAAAGGAACTTCAATAATTTGATATATTTTGACAGCCCACGATATTATTGTGAGATTTTTTGGCGATATGATATCACGATATTTCGGTTATTGTTACATCCCTAATAGCAGCAGTTAACACAATTACTGGGTAACAATATTAACCTTTTTGTTAGAAGTTAAAGTTGTAATAACACAATTGTTTTTCTTTTGGGGATTTTCTTCAGCAAAATTAGAATATGTATCTTTTTTTCTGTGCAAATGACTGAGGACGGATTTACGACACAAAAACAAAACAAAAAACATTTAAATTAAGAAATGTTACGACTGATCTAGTTTGCAGCGAAACATAATAAGACGATTGAAAAGTTTTTACTGTTTATCCAAACTACACAAATCCATCATATCATAAAGGGAGGCAGTACAACAATGCTCAAACGTCTGACAACACCTTTTGACTTTTTTTGTGGTAAAAGTAGCGTCTCGATAACGTTATCTTTTAGGTGCTAAAACAAAAGAGTTTTGGCAGGGTGTGACTACTTTTTGGTCGTGTTTGTGAAAGATAAGAAAACCTTTAACCGAGCAGATAGAGCACGGAAGCAAAAGCACAAATACTCAGCAGTTTTATTTTAGTAACAGGCAATGAAAAAAAACAAATTTACATGTTCGCTATTAGAAAATCAGAAATGCTGCAGTTACTTTGGCCACAGTTTGAGTCTTTAGTAGAGCTCAGTTCTGTTTTAAAGTACCAGTGCAATACCAAATAAAAAGGGTTGTGTACTATTGTTACAAAAAAAACCAAACAAAAAAAACACTATGGATGTAACAATCTCAAACTCGCGATATTTTGAAGAGGCTGACATAATCGTAGATAGGATGCTTTTTTTGCTTTTAAAATAGTTCTACAATATTCTGGTGTGAACTTTTTTCCATCATAATCCCAAGAATTCAAGTAAAAAACATATTTCTTCATGTTGTCTGCACTGAAATGAATCATGGGATATGTAGTTTCCAATGTTTTTAAGCTCTTGCTACTATAAAACCATGTATTGTGTCGTGTTTATAACAGTGACTCTTTTCTTCTATTAAAGCAAACCTCAATAATACACTTGTCAATATTCACGATTTTGAAAGCTCCAGTCACCATATTTCAACATTTTATCGAATATGGATCCAAATAACTATATCCAAATCTCTCGGTACGATATTTATTGCGATATTTTGAAGAGGCTGATTATAATAGTAGACAGGACACTTTTTTGCGTTTTTAAATATAGTTTAACAAGATTTTGGTGTGAATTATTTCCGTCATATTCCCAAGAATTCCACAAAAAAACATATTTCTTCATGTTGTCTGCGCTGAAATGAATCATGGGATATGTAGTTCCTGATGTTTATAAGATGTTGCTACTATAAAACCATGAATTTAAGCAAAGGAACTTGTGATTCGATATATTCTGACAGCCCACGATATTATTGTTAGACTTTTGACGATACGATATCACGATATTTCAGTTATTGTTACATCCCTAAACACATTTGATACCACAGCTTTTTTTTTTTTTTTTTTTTTTAATAACAAGTTTTGAAACCTCAGGGAGAACGGTGTTGAAGATTACTACAAATTAACAATAAAAACAATAGCTTTTTCACGAAATAAGTACTATATTTAAAAGAATTTATGAACAGAGTAGTCTTGTTTTGCCGTTCTAGATGATGATTGACAGGAACAGGTATTGAAAAACTGGTATTGTGCCGATATCTGAAAATAGGGTTGGGTGAACAATATTCCTAAGTTTCAACATGTCTTTAAATGTATTATTCAGTGTTTCCCATAGATTTTGTTAAGATTATAGTGGCACAAATTATTTTTATTTGAATAATCTAATTTCATTCTGTTTGCGGAGTGTAAATGCCACTTACTTACTTCCTATATTTAATCTTTAACCAGTCATTTTTGATCCGTGTTGTCTCTTTTATAAGCTTATAATACACTGAGCAGCAAAGCCTAATTTTGTTATGCCAATATATCGTCTCAGATGTTGTTTTTAAGACTTTGTGGACTTTGGGGGCACATTTGGAGGACTTTAGACTTTGGGGGGCCTCTGTAGTTTCCCGTATTAACGAGAAACACTGATGACTCAAGGTTTAACTATGAGACCAATGTGAGATGTGTTAAATTGCTCACAAATTATTTTTAACACTATTTTAAACCCAAAACAATAAACTAGATATTATATTTGCACAACAACACTAATAATAGTACTGATCTGTCTGTAATCTGTCTAAAGGTCGCTGCACACTACAGGAGAATTTGCCCGATTTTGGCTGCGACTTTGTGTCTTCGTGTGCGATTTTTGAAGCCGCTGTGCTCCTCGTGTGTGTGTGTGGTGTCAGTTTGACTGAGCTGTTCTGTCAGATCGGAACCATCAAACATCAGCAACGACACAGTAACAACCGATAAAACAGAGCATCAGGAGCAGAGGACTGACGGACACAGAGACGCAAGAAACAAACTCAGGAAATAGCGAAAATAATGAGTCGACTTTAGTGCTCACCTCTCGTAAAGTGATAAATTTAAACTGCACCATTTTAAATTTTAATAAATAATAATAATAATAATAATAATAATAATATATAATAATAATAATAATAATAATAATAATAATATAATAATTATGATAATAATATTAATAATAATAATACCAATAATAATATTTTATTTTTTTTTTTTGTTTTATTATTTTACATGTATATAACATAACAATAAAAATTTAAAATAAAACACGCCAGATAAAAAAAAAAAAAAAAAAAAGGTGCTGGAAGAGGCAAAGAACGCAAACGGGCTTATATTAAAGCCTCCACCTTATGAATACATTACAAATTGAACATTATAGCTGTGCATTTCAAAAAAATTTAAAAAATCCACATCATCCATAGAATTTGTCCTCTGCAAATAATGACCCCCAGTCCACAAAACAGCGCTATTAATCCAGTTTGAGGTGCTCTTTAAAAGTAAAAAGGCAAGAGTAGTTCCTCGCCTGTGTTTGTTTACATCCACGGATCGAGGTGAAGCTGCAGTTTAACGATACCGTTTCGACTTCCTTTGAACTTTATGGACAATATGAGTAGAAAATTCAGTTTGTCGACTGGACAGAAGTTAGTCAGGTTGAAGACGTTTCGCAGCTCATCCAAGCTGCTTCTTCAGTTCTGGACAACGGACAATACTTGATTCATACTTTAAAAATCATATATCTGAAGTTTTGCACCACATTTCACAAATAATAACACAGTTTTGACTTGTATCTAAACTAGAAGTGCAGTGCTCTTGATTTTTTTTATTTTTTGAACACTTAACTCTTTCCCCCGTTAATGCCTAATAGGAACAACCCATACATATATTACTAGGCCTACCCATAGAGCATAAGTGCATAAAAGAAAACAAACTTCCACGAAATTATTTTTAAACTCATGAACTTAATTGAAAACACAGACATATTTGTATCTCTGGAAACCTTAGACTCTGAACCCTTCATTTATGGATGTTTAAATGTGATTCAACTCATTTATAGGTGTTTAACAGCTCACTGAATATGAGAGTTTACCTGGTCAGGTGCAAAATCGAAAACAAAAAACTACATTCAGCATCTGATATATGCACGTTCTGACATATTCGACAGCGCTCACAACTTTATAGTTTGTGGTCTTCAGACATTTCCCGCTGCAAGAAGAACAAGTCTCGTAAGATTCTCCTTGTGTCTGTGTTTTGCGCTTTCTGTCACACTTTTAAAAATCATTTAAGACCAAGAAATCCTGTAGTGTGAAGCGACCTTTACTCTAAATCACTGAAGTCCAGGCAGAGAAAATGAGCGTCCTTCCTCGCGCACAATAACCTTCTAATGGGAATAGCACGTTCTGTATTGTTCTTAAACCGTCCCCTGAGCCGAACAGCAGGCTCTGTCCACGCTCGCTCAGGTGTTGAAGCTGCACTTTTAAAC